ATACCAGAGAACATCACCAGGAGGCGGACCACGGCACCTTCCATCGTTTGCTTTTTTTTTTTTTTTTTTTTGCATCAGATTTTAATTGCGTATGCAGCTATCTAGCTATGACACAATATCAAAGAAAAGTACAGAATAGATGATTCAACGTAAAGGAAGAGCACTCATGCCTCGGATTTCATTTGCAGGTACCACTGCGAAGTTATGGTGGCTTTTTCTTCACCCCAAGTCAACCCTCATCCGTGAATACCCACCCAGGGGAACATCTCAAAAACCCTAAGTTATCCAGACATGCCTCCGTCATCCATCAGCTTTTCTCCGCGCGAAATGTAATCTGAGATGTCTCCTTCCCAAGTGGAGTAGGTGCCCAGGCTACTCAAACTATACCAGAGAACATCACCAGGAGGCGGATCACAACGCCTTCCATTGTTTGCTTGTTTTTATAGTGTTAACTGCACTATCGCAAGCGAAGTCTTGGCGCGCACAAAGCTCAATTCGTAAAACTCCTTGCCAAAATTCGGAATCTCACGCCCTTCGAGGTTATATCCTTCCTCCGCATCATCTTGTAAACTTGTCCTGATTCCTCTCACGTCCATCGCAAAGAGCTGTCTCCCAGATTTGTGCTCCACGCTTTGCTTCCTCCGTCGGGTATAAATATCGGCGTGGGCGTGTATTTGGTGGGCGAGGCCAGAGATAGTCGACGGGAGGTATGGTCATTGAGATGAGGACGTACTAGGTCGCACTTGTAGACTTGATGAAGCTTAGTTGAGAATCGGACTCGTTGGGAGTGAAAGATTGACATGGTGGAATAATTTGAAATTTTGCCTCGTGGGCCAACTTCTTTGATATTGCGAAATATGACTGAACTTGGCTCTGGGAGAATATTTCACTCCCAGGTTCGTAGAGGACACCGCGTACAGGTGTTCAGTCTCGCCCTCCTGGTACTTACCTCACGTAGCACGTTGATGAACAAAAAAAAACGCACATTTCGAGAAATTCGAAAATTCGAAAATTCTTATTTTCCATCTTTCCTCCCTTCTCGACATCGTCGCATCCATCTCTGATTTGTAATCGAGCTCAGGTATTTTCACCATGCCCCCAGGTCGCAAAAAGCGTCCCAACGCCAAGTTGGACAACACGAGAGTCCACCCGAGGGCTCTCGAACAAGTACCTGGCCTTGTCCAGTCTCCAAAATGCGCGGAGATGAGCAAGGTCTCCATCAAATGGAAGGAAAAAGCCCTCCCCGCCGTCACTGAATCCGATACTGACATGATCGGGTCAGTCGAAATTGTTGAGGAAATTCCTCAACGAACCTCCGTCCCCCACGGGATTGGAGAATCGTCCAAACCTCCTCCGACCGCATCAAAACCGTCGGAAAACGCTGCACCTATATCAGCGCTAAAATCAACGTCGCAGCCAAAAGCTGCGTCAAAAGCAGAATGCCCTCCTGAGCTCCGACCAATAGTCGAAGCCGAACAACGACGCGCCGCCGAAACAGCGGCAAATCTGGCCCTCTGGCCCGCCGCCATCTCTGGCGTCGAAGCCACCCTCCTCCCTTTGACCGACGGGTCAAAAAGACAAATCGTAGACTCCATGAGAGTCTACTTACGCGCTGCCATTCCGTAATACATGGCCTCGGGCCCGGCGAACCCAACCCCAAGGGCTCCCGACGCCAGGAGCAATACAGCTCCCGCCGTCCCAGTTCTGCCTGTCAAAAGCACCTGGGCCACAGTGGCCAGAAACGGACTGCGACAGAAAGCTGTCCCAACTGTAAAGGCTGTGCCGAAACCTGCGGCAAAGGCCTTAAAGAAAGATGCCCCGAAGGCGAAAGTCAACAAACGACTATTCCTTCGCCTAGAAAAGAAGCACTCATGGCGCCAGCTTACGCTAGCTGGCCTACGGCAACAACTACAGAGTGAGCTAAACTGCTTCTTGAGTGACGTCTGTTTTATACACCGTGTTAGAACCGGCTTTGCGATTCTGACAGGGATTGAAAAGAAAAGGGAAGAGCTCCTAGATGCCGCACCAAAGTTTTCGGACTTCGGCGCCAAGCTCGAGGAAGCCTCCAGCCTTGTCGCCTTTCGGATCGCGAGTGTTCCGGCGATCATAAAAATAATCGACTGTACTTATACAGTCAATGCGGATTGGATCTTATTAGAGATCTACCGAAAAACACAAAAGCTTCCATACAAGGTGCTACCGCACGGGACATGCCGTCCTGGAGCGCCACATAGAAATTGGAAAGCGCTTTTCGACCAGAACAATGCCCCTCGCCAAAAAAAAAAAAAAAAAAAAAAAAAAAGCCCCTCGCCCGGGCTTCCGCATTCTCGACGAGGCTGGTATGGCTACCATTCACAAGCCTCGTCCACAAATTGAACAGTGCAAACGCTGTTTGGGCTTCCACGCCACCCGTGGTTGCTCCCGTGCTCCAACCTGCTGGAACTGTGGATCAAATATGCACTCGGAAGCTGAGTGCAAGGCCCTCACTTAGTGTCGCAACTGTGGGGGACCTCACCGATCGGATTCGCGGGCCTGCCAAGTCAGACCGAAAACATCCGTACTGGTGACAAAAGAGCAGCTCGCGTGGATCCGCCACATAGAACAAGGGGGGTTCTCAAAGGTGGCACGAGCACGAGCAGCAGCAAAAAAGGCCGAAGAGGCGATCATCGCCGCTGCGAAGGACGTCTCGATGGCCGAGGCTACAGGTTTCGGAGCTCTGGAAGCTGAAGAAGAAGTTTGAGGACACAGCAACCTCGACGATGTCCCCATTGGGGCATCTACTAACCAATAGCAGGAAACCGGCTGAATTAAAGGTACCTGCTAACTTATCTTTTGCTCTCAGCGGAGAATGAGCAAATTTGTCATCTGGAAGGTGTGACAGACGAGGGAATGTGGGAGGAGCGCATTTACTGGGTTCAATATGGAGGAATCTTCTGGTATTCGGAGTTATTTTGATTTTCTTGATTTATCGTTCTTGTTTAATCAGCTGCAATTTTGGTAGCGATTCACGAGGTTGGAACTAGTTATTTTTTATTTTATTTTATTTTTTTTTAAATTCATAGTGTATTCAGCTATATAGCTATGACACAGTCTCTAATATACAAAATCCTTTGCATCCCACACTCCATGGTATTTTAAATAGTGTTTTAGTTCTACCCCTTTGTCATCTATTTCGTCCCGCAAGGCACTTAGTAGACCAAAGAAAATAGAGTAATGCTGTCTTGCCTTTCTGTGTTCCAAAAAGCATAGGTAGTGAAAGTGGTTCAAGTCCCCCAAACTCCTTTTTCCTCTCCCCCTTAAATTTACAACAGTGTAAGATTAGATGTGGTATTGTTTGTCTTGCTATTCCACAATGATTACACCAGTCATTGTCTACCTTTCCGATTTTCTTAAGATGTGTTAGGGTATTTCCAATACCTGTCCTTGCCTGAATATATTCAGACTGTGTTCTTCGGCTGTATTTGTTGTACTGGAAGGGTTTAAGTTGAAAGTTGGGCTGGTTCCTATGTGCCATTAATCTATAATATTTGCCCAATTGGAACTAGTTAGGCTGTAGGAAAAGTTACAGGGAACTCTGCCGGATCCGCCGGTCCTTGACCCAATGTGGAAAAGATAGCATTAGCTTAGGACAAAAAGTAAAAAAAAAAAACCTTTCATCAATAACTGCCATTAAACATCACCTGACTCATGTCTGTATTCCATATTTTCAACACTGATAATGATTGATTTGATCTTTCGAACTCTAAATATGGACATGCACTAGGAACTGTTGGAAAACCGGTAAGGGTTCGATGAGTAAGGCGGCTCAAAGAATATGGGCGCGATTTTATGAATAGAATAACAATGATATGAATCGGGAGAATATGTGATAAACTGTGGAGAAATAAAGATGGTCTGAATAAATTGAATTGATTAGATTATCTGTCTTAGTGATTCTTAGACAGCTTATATACATGTAATCTTGATAGACCAAATCCAGACTAGATACCATCCATCACTCGTTCCATACTCTAACAATGACAATGAAACGCACGACAGTATGCAATATGAGTATGGGGTCAGGGTCGGTGGATGAAAGCCTACACGTGTATCAGACCATACCATGCACTAGTCGAGTCTCAAGCATCAAACATGCTCAGTAAGGGAGATATCAATCATCTAGGTCGTGAGTCATGTGTGAGAATCTTAGTCGTTCCAATCATGGGAAACTTCAGACACATAGAGTCTGAATTTCCAACAGGAACTGAATAACTTGCGGTTATAAATACAGAATAAAAGCACTGAACGAAGCAAGCAACCCATGTGGGTATGGACAGCCCCTATTTTTGACTAGAGAAATTTCCCAGTCCAACTTCTTGCGCGATATTCTTAGCCTTCGACTTAATAAGCATGATGGTTGAAGAAGATACTTGCGAAAAATGAAATGCGAATAATTCAATAGGTATGCAAATCTGAAACCAAAATAATAGAACTGTCGAGTAGCACGTATCTTGTGCTAGAGTATGGCAGGCTAGCCCTTAATACGTACATCATAAGGAAACCATTTCCCCCACTCAACTAAATTAAGCCTTGTGATCATATTAACATAATAAGTGATTAAAAATACTTGAGATGTATACTAAGTTAATACTGGCAGTGAATCGTGAAAAAAATAATAGTTGACAAATTGAATCTGAACCATTAACACTGCCGACTATTCAATCCGTAAAATGAGCGGGTATCTTTTCCCCTAAACCATGCTTTCTTCGTTCAAACGCCCCGCTAAAATTTAAAGATATTTTCATATTGCACCAGATGCTTAAGCAAAAAGCAGTCGCAAACCCACTCAAATGGCTCATGGTATTCGGTATCTTCCCTACGATACCCAAGAAACTAGCTGCGCAAATAAGCCGCGAGCGACATAGCAGTAACAGATGATCCCACCAGTCTTAGCAGCTTTCAAGGGGACTAACAGGCAGTACCGAATTAGTTGTGAGATAATTCTCTAGCGTGACAAGAACCTAATCAGAGCTTGGCGCATCGCGTGGTCCGGGTGGAAGATAGGTTTGGTCATCAGACTTTTGTTGTGATGAGCCAGAGCTTGGAGCCCAGATCATAGAGCTATTTTGTAATACAAACTTTGATCGATCGGAGTCATCAAGTTGTTGAAATGTTGCCGATAGATCTTTTCTGCGGGGAGGCGCTGGTATCACGGTCTTAGGAAGAGAATCAGCACTAACGTTACGGCGCGATGTTTTCTGCCGCAATCGACCTGTTTGTGTCGAGGCAAAGTCCTCGAAGTACCTGCGCACCTTCCATTTACTGTGATTATTTGGGGGGTATGCTGATCCTTGAGGCCTAGTTATTCGAGGGGTAGCTTTTGAAGATGTTTCTTGACCTCGAATTTTAAACGAATTGATTTTGGGTAAAGATGACCAAACCTTTCGCTTGGGAGGATTGGACAAATCTACTTGGTTGATTTTATTTTCCCTCGCATTACTGGAAGCTGAATTATTATGTTCCTGTAAGGTAGGGGCTTCTATTATGCTTGTGCTACTCAAGTTTGCCTCGACTGAATCATGTGAATCTCGAGGGGCCCCTATTCTGGTCGGCGGGAGTTCATCTACCGAGTGATATTTTATAGAATAAACCGTGCTGTCAGCGCTTGTCGTATTAACATAGCTTACAGGGTTTGTGACTGTCGGATGTCTAGACGGCCATATGCTACCATGAATATATCGACTTTTGGTCTGCCGCTGTGATTCTCCAGATTCGATATCTGATCTTCGTCGTATGCGAAAGCGATCAGTCAACTCTGTAACTGCAAACCAATTTGCTTTGATGGGGCCGCTGTTAACATTGCCATTCATGGTATTCTTCTCATTACTCTTCGCCATACTCGAGGGGGATTTAGCCGTTTGAAACATGTCGCTGGAAGGACTGATATCCAGCATTTCATCCCCATCAAAAATCTCGCGGCCTAAGACCCCATCTTTCTTATCATTCCTTTCCATGGCTTCAATCCTTTCCACCCATTCCCAGACAACTACACTGGCAGCAGCAGCTCCAACCCAGCGTACATAATCACCCCAGCCAGCTAAGTCGGGTTTAGATATATCAGTAACGAAAAATACGACGGGTACTAAAACTGAGACCAAGGAAAGGAGGGCAACAAGACAGATATTTTTCATTTGTGGGTGATAAAAAGCAACCGTTTTCTTGGTCACCGAGTAGTAAATAACCCACGCAGCATACAAAAGGCTGAGAGCTAGTTGAAATAGGTATGCAAGGGCTGGAACCGCGTCGACAAAGCTTCTCGGTCGAGATGAGCTCTCATAGGAAAAGTTGTTCAGGATACTGAACAGCTCATCTAGTGTAATGAGGGCAAAAGCTGTCCACTTAATAATAATCTTTTCCCTCTGGCGAGGGAATAATCGAATAAGCGTTTGAGCCTGGGCCAACCATAAGAAGGTGTCTGATATAATTCTGATAACTTTTAGTTGAGTTCCATCCTCCACCTGTTTTTGCAAAGCTTGTGCATCCATGTATCCTACTTCGTATTGCGCCTCGGCGACTCTAAAGGTGTCTGCAGAAGCGATAGTCAGGGATATAGCGACAGTTAGAGCGGCGACTTTCTGTAACCATGGTCGTCCCCCAATGCCTATTCCAGCATCACTCCCTGATGGCCCATTTGTAAACCCTCTTCTTCCCAACACTAACGCTCCTTCGTGTATAAATGTTCGCGGAGTGATTAGCAGCATTATAACAAGCATATATGCTATGACGGTTGTCGCAGCAAGCGCATAGCACTCGGGTAAGGTTGAGGCATAGAATGGGTCACGAAAGTGGATATGATTCACGGCGCCCGAGTCGGCGATGAAAACATCACTTGAGCCAGTGCACTTCGGTTGATAGATGGCATCGCTCGCAAGGGTTATTGTCGTCGAGGAATTCAGGGTAAGTAGGCCTTCACTTGGTAGCGTAAAGGCGGAACATGAAGGCGCCAAGGCTGAAGAGGTCTGTGACGGTCTAGAGATGTTTATTAGCTGTCGTTTCCTCATGTCTGCTTGTTGAGAGTTCCCAGGCTTTGATGAAGGGGTACGAGTGACAGTTGGAAGTAGCTGGCCGCGTCGCTGTGAAAGTCAGGCGGCCTGCCGTCATGGAGTTGATCAGCGAAATTTGATCACCATTCTCATCGAGATATGTATTGATGATTGAATTTTATTTGGAATAGTCAGAAGTGAGCGGCAATGGATAGTAGAGGTGACAGGCCGGGGCTTGATGACACGGGGAGGCCGAACAGATTTGGTTTCAGGGGTTTGTTGCTGAGAAAGCTGTTGAATTTCCTCTCGCTCTTCACAATCGTCCTTGGACGGGTGCTGATAAGCTCCTCGAATCATCAATTAGGTGGCATAATAGATCTGGCGGTGGGGAATAAATTGGTAGCGACAATTGAAAAGAGTGAAGGGGAACAGGCAGTACAGCTCCAAATCCTGTCTCATCGTTCGCCAACAAGTGCGCTAGATTAAGATGACCCCACATTTGAAGTTCTAAGCCAAATTTCGTTTCTAATGACTACGTCGGATGATGATTATGCACTTGTCAGAAGAGCCCTCTAAGACGTAAAATCTTCCTCTACAATGCGAAGGACACAATAAAGATTGCGATGACTTACAGCATATTAAATGGCTAACAAATATCCATTCAAGCAGATGTGATAAGATGAACTAAAAGTAGATGCATTAGATTTAACAGCAATAACCAGTAAATGAACTCCAAAATCTATTGCGACCTTCGAGCATTGAAAGAGGGAAACTACATTTACTTGTTACTGTTATTGTCCATTTTCAGTCTTAGACTAAATAGGACACGGGGACTATTCTAAACATCTGTCAGCGGTGTTACCTACGAAGCTCCAGCTCTCACTGTAGAGTCTGCAGAGCCGACTTTAAGTAACACCTTTTTCCCCACTCCGATGAGGATTCTTAATAGTTTTCGCCGCCTATATCGTCTTCATCTCTCAACGCATCCTCCTACCACCATTGTCATAAAGCTAACCACGATCAGATCAGATGGTAGGGTCAGAGCTCTACTCATCGCCCACCCTTGATCATGAAGGAGAAGCCATCCGACGAGTTTACGGAGTATACTTAGCACCCGATGCTGAGATGGTGGATTGGATCAAGTCGACCTCGACTATAACAAAGAAGGGAGATACAGATGAATCTGCGCACCTCATGTGGTCCCGGTGTCTAGGCCTCGTCTGGCTTGGGCTGCAGGTTTACTGAGACTTTTTCCCGCGCACGCAGTTTCCATTGCTACCTTTTTTTTTGGGTAGAAGGTTCCGTGGAAAAGGTGGCTGAATTCCATGGGTAAACACTGAGCTGAATGCCTATTCATCACGGGCAATATATCAGTGATCTTACAAGTAATAAAAGAGGTAAGGAGCACTGTACAAGGTGTGGCCTGAGTCAGAGAGGAGTCAAATGTGCTAGATTGCCTATGACTCAAGTGGCACAATAAAAAACATCACTCACTCACTTAAAAGTTCTTCCTACCGTTTCGGCGCCCGAAACTAATATGATCGGGTCAGTTGAATTTGTCGAGGAAAGTACTTAGCCAGGCTCCATCCCTCACGGGGTTGGAGAATCGTCATAATCTCCTCCGACCGCGTCTAAAACGTCGGAGAACGCTCCATCAAATAAGGCATCAACAAAATAGCCGCTGCCTAAATATGCTGCCAATCCAGATTGCTCCCCGAAACTTCGACCAATCGTCGAAGGCGAACAAGAACGCGACGCCATTGCGCAATACATGGCCACAGGCCCGGCCACTACGCCACCCGTTTTACCTCCTCGCCCGGCGAACCCGCTCCCAAGGGCTCCCGACGCCAGGAGCCAAACAATTCCCGCCGCCCCAGTACTGCCTGTTAAAAGCACCTAGGCTACGGTAGCAAAAGACGGACTGCCACAAATAGCAGTCCCGTTACTAAAGGCCGTGCCGCGACCTGTGGCTAAAGCCCCAAAAAAAGACGCACCGAAGGCGAAACTCAACAGACGAATTTTCGTCCGCCTCGGCAGCGACTACCCGTGGTGCAAGCTCTCGCTTGAATGGGCACGCTACGAATTAGAGGATGAATTGGAGTGCATCGTAGGTGACTCCAGCTCGTTCCACCGAGTCAGAGCCGGCTTTGCGATTCTGGTAAGTCAGGAAAGTATAAGGCATAAGCTCCTAGAAGCGGCTCCGAAACTGGTAAATTTCAACTCTGAACTCGAAGAATCTTTCGACCTTGTCGCCTTTCGGGTCGCGAATGTACCCGCGATCCTCAAAATACCCACCCGTACTATTACGATCGGTACCGATTGGATCTCAGGCGAGATCGACTTCAAACCCCACCTGACGCCAATCCAGATGCGACTACATGGGACACATCGTCCTGGTGCGCCGTATAAGAACTGGGTTGCACTCTTTCCTCGGATTCTGCCCCTCGCGCGGGCTTCCGCCTCGTCGCAAAATCCAGCAGAATTATCACTGCCTCGGCTTCCATGCCACTTGCGGTTGCTCCCGCGCTCCGATTTGCCTGAATTCCGGTTCAACGATGCACTCTGAAGAAGATTGCAAGACCTCTACTAGATGTCGAAGCTGTGGAGGACCTCACCGATTATTCTCACGGGACTGTCGAGCAAGGCTAAATAAGTTCGGTCCGGTGGACAAAAAGCAGCCGGAAGCGATTCGTCAAGCCGAGCACATATTTTATGCACAAGTAGCCTGTGCAAAAGCTGTTGCTAAAAGAGTTGAGGGGGTGATAGTCGCCTTAACCAAGGACATCTCCATGGCGGAGGGATCGGTCTGTAGAGTTCTGAAATCTGAAGAAGAAGCTTGAGGACCCAGCGACCTCGATAACACTTCTTCCAGGCGTCTACTTACCAACACCAGGATACCAGGTATATCAATGGTACCTGCTACCTATCCCTCGCTCTCGGTAGAGGCTAGAAAATTTATCATTTGGAAGGTGTGACGAGCGAGAGAATGTGTGAGGGGCGCATTGGTTGGGCTCAACGTGGAGAAATCTTATGCCTTTCTCTCGGGGGTGTTTATGATTTCTTGTTTTCCAGTTTGTTATAATCTGCTGCAATTTTGGTAGCAATTTACGTGGTTGGAATGAGTTTGGCCTGTACACAATGACCCTTGCCGACTCCACCGGCCTTGTATCCAAGTAGGACGTAGAGCTTTTACTTAAGCTCAGGACATTAATAAAACAACTTCAACACATATAACCCACGCATCGAGATGGAAACGTGCTAGACTTAGTGTGGAGTAACACCTTCGCTGAGGCGTCGGTATCAAATAAATACAACTGTACATCGGATCACGTGACTATCGTAGGATCTGTTCAGGTGACAAAAATGGCAGACTTCAACGCTGTCTCACAGGATCTACGAGTCCGTGACCAAGACCTTGGTAAATTCGCCCAGTATGTCAAAGCCTGGGCCAAGCCTGGCCCCATACGCAACGAGTTGGAAATTGATAGCCAAGTAGCGAACCTGCTGGAGGCTCTGGGGGATGCCCGCAAGGCAGTGGGACGGAAACCAGTGAGAATAGCCGGGAAATCAGCGCCATGGTGGAATGAGGAGTGCAAGAAAAAGCACCTCGAGTTCATGGAATCCAGAGACGACTCAGAAAAAGCAGCCCTGGCCCGGAAAAGGTTTAGAGCTACAGTCAAAGTGGCAAAAAGGGAACACTGGAGAAAACAGATCGAGAATGCCATCACGGACACCCAGGTATTCAAGATAATGCAATGGGCTAAACCCAAGCCATGTCGAGAACCTCCTCCTCTGAAGGTCGCGGAGGACAAATGGTTATCAGACCCACTCGAGAGAGCAGAAACCCTGAGGGACATCTTGATGACTAGATTCAACGCAGCCCACGATCTCTCCACATGGGAGACGGGACAACCAGAGACTATTCCGTGGAACCCAATATTGTCGACAGAGGATGTAAAATCGAGCACCATTGGAACAGGCGACAAGTCTCCAGGAGCGGACAGAATCACGGTTCGGCTGCTTAAGGCGTGCTGGGAGCAAATTGGCGAACAAGTGAAGAACCTCTTTCAAGCTTGTTTACAGCTTGGACATTTCCCCACTATGTTTCGAGTTGCAGAGGTCATCCTCCTCCCTAAGCCAGGACGGGACCTCGCAACAGCTAAAGGTTGGCGACCAATCTCTCTTCTATCCTGTCTTGGGAAAGGTTTGGAACGACTTGTAGCCAAGAGAATGGCCTGGCTAGCAATCGAGCACCGAGTCGTTCCTCAACAGCTGTTTGGTGCACTGCCTGGTCGCTCAGCAGTTGACTTGGTCTCCTGCGTCATACACGATGCAGAGGCGGCAATGCGATACAAGAAGGTAACGGCCATGGTTACTCTGGATGTACAAGAAGCGTTCGACGCGGTCCTGCACAAACGGCTGATCCATCGATTGCGGAATCAGGGATGGCCAAGGATACTTTGCCTGTGGATAGAATTATTTCTAACTCAACGAAGGATAAGGGTGCGACACCGTGATGGAACCACGCGGGACAAAGTTGTAGAGTGCGGAGTCCCATAAGGGTCGCCGCTATCACCCCTTCTGTTTTTATTATACATCGAAATCTTGATGCGAGACGGAAACAAGAGCACAAAATTCGGGTACGCTGACGACATCGCTATACTCAGCATAGGGAGCACCGCGTCTGAAGCAGTGGCCGAAGCCCAGAAAGAAGTCGACAAACTCGTCCAATTAGCGAGCGAAAACCAGATAGACTTTGACCCGGCAAAGTCTGAACTACTGTTAATTGGAGGTGGGCCAAGGAAAAAGCTGAACACCGCAGGTCTAGCTGTCCAGATCCAAGGCCACTGCATAGCCCCGTCCCCGTACGTTAGATGGCTGGGAGTATGGCTAGATTCTCAACTCAACTTCAAGCAACACGTTCAGGAATGGTGCGGGAAGGCGCAACGTATAACACAGTCTATACGACGGATGAATTCGGTCCAGCATGGCGCAGCTCCGGGACCGATGATTAAAGC